GAGGCAAAAGAGAAAGCAGCAGCACAACCCATAGGAAAGCAAGCCCAGGTGTGAGGAGAGGCGTGGCAGGGCCAGAAGTCAGTCCAGACTGTACGGAAGAGAAGAAATGGAACTAGGCGACAAAAAGATTTTTTAGGAGAGACTGAGAGGACAAGATGCCACTGCCATCCTCAAACTAGGAAGATTTCCTAAGCCCATATCTGAGCCCAAGTCTACACTCAGCCTCCTACAGCCGTTGCTCAAGACTTCAGGTGTTCTGACTGCCTACTAAGTAGTGTATTTAAGACCTTGCTACTCAAGGGGTGGTCCATGTCCATGGCAACATTGGCATCACCTGGAAGCTCATCAAAAATGCAAAACCTAAGCTACCCTCCCTACTGAATCAGAACCTGCTTTTACCAAAGTCCCCCGGTATTGATAAGTCTTTTAAAGTGGGAGAAGCACTGCTTTAAGCCACTGTGGTCCAATTCCCACTTTGGCAGACCATGTGCTACCAGTAAAAATAGTCTTCCCCTGAGGATTTTCTATGATTTCCATTCACTTTTCCATGATATTTCAGGAGATTTTGCTGCTCAGCTTTATTCTGCCCTCATCTGGAAAGGCAACGCAGGAGGATATTGAAGAGCATTGCCTTCAAAGTCAAACTCACCTGAGTTTGAATCCCTTCCATGCTATTCGTCACCTGTGGGACCTTCTGTAATCATTATCACATTATGAAATCACTTCTCTAAGCCTTGATGAATTCCTAATTCTGGGGGTCAAGTTAAAGGCCAAATGAAATAATACATTAGCTTGAAACTGAAATAATCGATTAGCTTGAAAACAAGAGATATTCTTGGCAAAGTCTCTGCAGACCATGAGCCAGAGCCCACCTTTCAAGACTATGTGAGGGAAGCAAGGAAAGGAATGTGGAATTCCCTCTGGCATATTCCAAACAGAGTTGCCTTTGATCATTTTCGGTCCAACAGGGCATTTGGTGTCCAAAGCAAATTTAGGAGCTGACTGCATCTGCTCATCATTGCCCTGTGAAAAGAAACAAGCCTTCCAAGGTTTGGGGGCAAATTAAACACATCAGTAACATCAAGGCAGTGCTCAAAATAGCTATGCTTTTCAAGTACTTGCTAACGCTTTATAATATTTTATTATGTCCACAAGAACCCAGTGGGAAGACAGATTATTAGCCATCTAATCACTGATCAAAGGAGAGGAAAACAGTTCTAGGCAGGGATGATGATGGGATGGGGATTATTTTATACCTGGGGACAAACAGGTTAAACATGACCATTCCCCCCTCCACACATGAAAAGAACTTATTATTGTTGGGAATACGCATCAGACATCTGCAGAGGCCAGAAAAAAGAGAAAGTACATTTAAGGAAGTGTAACTGGTTGATAACCATGGAGACAGTTTCCTGAGCTACTCAGTGGAGCTAAGAATGAAAACCTGGGAGGGTCCATTTGTGTCTGCATTCAGCCTAGGCACTATCTTACTCAAAGCTAGGTCATCGAGCAAGATAGTTCCCATTTCCCAAGCTAGGACCCAGATCCCTGGACAAGATTAGAGAGAGAATTCTAGGACTGGGGGACATCTTGCCAAAGAGTAGTTGGTGAACAACTCACTTAGTATAATACCTGTTTATGAACAGTCTTTGTTGAATCTGAACAGTCATCATCTCTTTAGACCCTGCTGCTCCACCTCCAAATGCAAGGACTGCTTATGGGAGAGGGGAGGAGGGAGGAATGAGCTCTTCTATCCTTGGTTTCTGGAAACAGCATCTCTCCTGGGGCAGTGGAAAGTACACCAGAGAATTTCAGTCCAAGATCTGCCTCTGATTCATGAGTACCTTGGTTTCCTCCTCCATAAAATTAGCTTGATGGACTGAAAGATGTTTCAGGTCCCCTCTGGCTTTGATTGTCTAGTCTTGACTACCATGGGTAGCCAGAAGAAGCTATGAAGACCTCATCCCAAGAGCTCTTCAGAATAGGAATAGTCACGCTTCTGTCATAGATTCCCTGGGCCCTGGGTGAGGGTTTAAGTGACAGGCTTCTTTCCTGTTTGAGATGCTTTGCTTTTGACATCCCGTGTCTGAAATTAGGAAACCAGAAAATATTCAAGTGACAGAGAGAAGAGAGGCCTTCCTTGACCCCCATCTAAATTAGGTCTTTCTCTCTGATATGACTTCTTACAGCTGTGCTATTCAAAGTGTGTTCTGTGAGCCAGGAATATCAGCATTACCCGAAAGCTTGCCAGAAATACAGAATGTTGGCCTAGCGCAGTGGCTCACGCCTGTAATCCCAGCACTTTAGGAGGCTGTGGAGGGCAGATCACCTGAGGTCAGGAGTTCGAGACCACCCCGGCTAACATGGTGGAACCCCCATGTCTACTAAAAATACAAAAATTAGTCAAGTGTGGTGGTGGGAACCTGTAGTGCCAGCTACTTGAGAGGCTGAGGCAGGAGAATAGCTTGAACCCAGGAGGCGGAGGCTACAGGGAGCTGAGATCCTGCCACTACACTCCAGCCTAGGCGACAGAGTGAGGCTCCATCTTAAAGAGAGACAGGGAGAGAGGAAGGGAGGAAGAAAGGAAGGTGGGCAGGCAAACTATCCCCAAATCTGCAGAATCAGAATTTGCATTTTGACGACATCCCCAGGTGATTCCTGTGCACATGGAAGTTCAAGCAGTGCTACCTTAAAGCACTCTGATTCTTTTACTCCATAGCTCTTCCCACAACTTGCAACTGCAATTCTAACTACACATTTATTTATATTGTTTTAATGGCTGCCTTAATGACTGAATCATAAAATCCATAGGATGTCTTTTAATGACTAACGTAGTTCCTACCACAGACCAGGTGCTCATCCAGGGTGTGCCAAATGAATGATTCTCTAGGACTTCCCGAACTGCTAGCAGCCTCTGCAATAATGGCCCTGCCAGGTTTGCTATTCCAGCTTCTCTCACTGTTCCAGTATATGTCCCTGGGAAGCTGATGAATTTGATGACTGTAGCAAGACATTCCTATGCAGATATCTTTCTAAGTGCATTTGCATTTTCATGCTAATCAGTGGTCATGCTTGGCAGTGAGTTGTTAATTAAATTTTAAAATGCTGTTTGTTGTCTCACAAGGGCAACATAAAGGGGAATTTTGTGATGTCAGGTTTTCCTGCAAACTGCATGCATAAATGAAATACCACAAAAACTTCAGCTTTGTTATTCAGGTTAAAAGCTTTCAACTAAGGCAACAAAATCATAGACTATTACAAGGGCCTTCCAGGACAGGTTTGCCTCCCTTCCCCTGAGAAGCTGGGGCCCAAATGTTTAAACTGACTTCCCCCATCTCCAGATTGGTGCTATGCCAAGGCTTTGCCTTCAGGAGACCGCCTTGACTCACTACCATCCTCTTGCACTAGAGAAGAGATCCATTCATAAAAAAAACAAGCTGTCAGTGGAAGGCAAAGGACCAAGCTCCTAGGGAAATGTTACAATAATAGGGGAACTCCAGATGGTCTTAGTGTTCACACAGAATGCTAAGAAAATAAGCTGTGGGCAGCCGCTAATTTCTTGCTTTGGTAGAAGTTAGGAAGTTGGTTTTTTCCCATATACATGCTCACACCTCTCTAGGTCTTTATTAATATTTCAGTTTAATGGATTATAGGAGATTCCAACCTTGGCAGGTCAAAAGATGAATAAGGTACTTCATTGGTTATTGGTAGGACATTGTACAAGGGTCTTCATGGCTGGGGAGAAAGGGGAGGGAGAATTAGGGTGTTAAAGTTAGTCGCCGAATAATTTATTAGGGGAAAAGAACTGTGCATCTCTGCTTCTGTTAACTCCTTGTTCAGAGTCCTCGAACTAGAACCTCCCTTTAGTCCTCTTTAGTCCTCAGCCCAGGATTCCCTTCTTCAGAAGACAATCTCTTTCTATCAACCTCTTACTTATTTGTGTAAATATTTTTGTATATATTTGTTTGTTATAGAATAAAGAATACACAATATAATGTAAATGTTCAAATATATAATATGCATTTGTATATATTTATACTACATATGTATACATATCTGTATATTTAAATTTAAACTTGTAATAAATCCATAAGGGTGGGGACCCAATTTAATTGTGTATGGTATTCTCACAATGCTTGCCATATAAACACAAAATTCAGAGTTTCCAACCACAGGAGAGATAGAGATATACCTTCCCAGGTATGTTTACAACATACTTTCACAGATGAATCAAACATGGGAAAAAAAAAAAACACATATACTTCTATAATACACTTGATTATTCTCATGTTGACCAAAGTGGGGAAAAAAAATCACACATGTGGAGGGGAAAAAAAAAGCATGAGATTGGGAGTTGAGTCCCAGCTCTAGCCAGGTACGATAGCTCACACCTGTAATCCCAGCACTTTGGAAGGCTGAGGCAGGAGAATCAGTTGGTTCCAGGAGTTTGAGACCAGCCTGGGCAACATGGTGAGACCCTGTCTCTACAAAAAAAAAAAAAAAAATTAATTAGTTGAATGTCGTGATGTGCACCTGTCCTCCCAGCTACTCGGGAAGCTGAGGTGAGAGGATCGCTTGAGCCCAGGAGGCTGAAGCTGCAGTGAACCATGATAATACCACTGCACTCCAGCATGGGTGACCGAGCAAGACTTTGTCTCAAAAAAAGAAAAAAAAAAAAAAAAAGAGTCCCAGCTCTGGACTCTGATGTGGCCCTGGGCAAGTCATTTTATCTTACTCTATCCCATTTCTCTTGTCTGTGAAATGAGGACAGCAATCCTTCTCTTGCATTTCTAATAGTCACATTGTCAAACAAATGGATAGAAAGCCCATTGGACACTACATCAGTGAATTAATTTTTAAAATTTAAGAGGTAAGTGGAGGGTGAATTCTAAATTGCACAGTACTTTAAGGACAACAAAATGAAAAAGAAATAAAAAAAAAAAAAGTTGTTTCAACTGAATGTCACACCTCATGCTTCTTTTTTCTTCCTTCTCTTCCAGGACTCCATTCCCAACCCACCTGACAACATCCCCCTCAAAGGAGGTAAGATCTTGGAATTAGGTGTAAATGTGTAGTAAGTCATCTAGATGAATGCTATAAAGTGTGAAAGCTGATTATCAACCAAAAACAATGCTATGACATGGGCCAGCAGTAAAGTGGGTGGGAGTGGAAGCATGGGCTGCTCAGGACTGAGCTGATGCATCTGAATTCACCTTAGTAGCCCCTGAACTTGTCCCCACAAGCCTCCCACCAGCCCTTGACACTCCCACTAATGAAAATTCCACCTCTGGCATAGGCAGGAATGCAAGGCAGTGTTGTGTTAAAGCTTGAAACCTGAAATCAGATAAACGTGGGAAAGTATCTTGGCTTGACTTCCCATCTGGGAGCCTTAACTCCTCATCTATTAAATGGGAATAAGAATACTCACCTCATCAAGGTATTGGAGAAGTCATTCAGATCTCATCTATAAATTGCTTGGTATGGTAACCGGCACATAGTAATCATTACATAACTAGTAATAGCTAAAATGCATAACGAAGTCAAGGACTTGTGAAAACAGACTTTCTCCTCACTCCCAATATTTCCAATCACTGAAGTCACTAATTAACACATCGTCTCTACTAGCCTCGGAGGGATGATATGCCAAGTTCAGTTAACATCGATGATGAGAAATTTTCAGATGATCTGATTAATGTTTTTATTGCTCAGAGGAAGAAAAGGAAGGCCCAAAGAGGGTAAGGAAAGCATCTTGTCCAAGATCATATAAAACCAAGCCTAGAACCCAGGTGTCCTCGTCTCTAATACAGTGTCTTTTCCACCCAAGAACACTAGCCCCCATCTCAGTCCTGTAACCTTTAGAACCTAGATGGCAAACACAGCTGGAAAACCAGACAGCTCAGAGCAAAAAGTGAAAAAGTGAGTTAACATAGGCACCAGCGTTGGGACACAAGAGTGTCCTTGAGACCAGAGGACACAGGTGACTGGACACAGCTCCTCATAGTCACAGCATCACACTTGGAGTGTCCTTCAAGTTTCCCTTGATCATGCCTTTCATGTGGTTTATCACCCAGAGACTTCAAAAGTAGGGGCAAAAGCCCCCAAAAGACAAGGATTCTGGATCTTTCAAGGCAGACAAATTAATCACAACAGTATCTCATTTTGGCTGGAATCACTTAGCATGTGTCCTCAATTCCTATCATGTCTATGCAGACAGTCACATTAATATTGAAAGGAGCGTGGTAGAATACAGAGGTAGGCAGACTTTTTCTACAGAGGGCCAGACAGCAAACGTTGAGGCTTTGGGGGCTACAATGTCTGTTGCAATTAATCAGCTCTGCTATTGTAGTGCTGAGCCAGTCTGACTACATGCAAATGAGTAGCCAGGGCTGCGTTCCCATAAAACATTATTTCTCAAATGAGATGCTGGGCTGGATTTGGCTAACGAATTGGAGGAGTCACTACAGGCTTTGGAGTCCGACATTTGAGTTAAACTCGTAATGCACGTTCACACGGAGCTTTGTAAAAACCAAAAGTCTTTGAGTGAATATAACTTGCCCCTCCCTGCTCCCACTGTTCCACCACCACCTCCACCCAGACTTTCCAAGGAAGAGAAGATGGGAACTTTCTGATTTTTTGACAGGCAGAAGGGATTTTTTTCATGAACATGGTCTCAATGACGAGAATGGTTTTGATTAGGTAATGGGGCCTCGGCCATTTTGGATCTCAGTCTCCTCACCTAAAGAGCACTTCAATCCAAAGTTGCCAAGTACAGGTACTCTAACTAGTATTCTGGTCCCATAATAAAGTTGACAAAGTTGTCATCAGTCCAAAATGGAGTGCAAAAAAGGACACAGTAGCCCTCTTTTCATAGGGCCAATTATATCTAATGTAAGAGGCACTCTTCCTCTGGGACGGTCCTTCATTTTTGTGTGTCAAAATGTCCTTTCTTTTACAACATGAAGTTGATATGCACAGGAGTTAGTCAGGCTGGCTTGCTTTTTGCCAGAGTGATTTTGTTTGGTTTTAATGATTGCAGTAGGCAAAATAAGAAGCTGTCCGCTCTTTGTTGGTCTCTGAATTTTCCTTTTGGGGAGAAATTTCCTGGGTCTATAAACTACAGAATTTTAAGAACCATGGACTAGATCGCTTATCAGATTTCTTTTTATTCGGACCATGCATGAATTAGATTTCTTTTTATCTAAACCATGCATGGGAATACCAGAACACAAAGTAATCAAAACCAACCTCAGTTTACAATTCAATGTTTCCATAATCAGATTTTTTAAATCCTAATAATATTAGGTTGGTGCAAAGTCATTGCAGCTTTTGCCATTATGTTCAATGGCAAAAACTGCTATTACTTTTGCACCAACTCAATAATCCCACTGGGACCAAAACTTTTGTTAAAGACCTCCCACACCTCCTTTGGGTTCATCCTCACCTCAACCCTGTGAGCAAGCCACAGCAACATGAGAAACAGTCTTCCCATTTTACAGATGAGAAGCTTGAGGCCCAAAGAAGCCAGGTGTCTTGCCCAACATCATACAAGGAGTTAATGGCTAAGTGAGAATCCAGGGCTCCTCTCTCTTTCCCCCTCCCATGATGAACTTCCACCATGAGATGCCAGTGACCTGCTGGAGGTGGTCGCTGACTTTCTCTTGCTTTTAGTGCAAGTCTTCACTCCCCTTAACTCAGCAAACTGCAGACACTGTATTAGGGCAAGGTAGAAATAATATCCCTGGGCTTCAGAACTGACCTCCACATGAATAAGCCTTTTCTCCTCTCTGAGCTTCATCTGGAATATAACAGCAATGTACTAAATGCCCTGGAGGAGTCTCTCCAGCTCTGACACTTTATGAGACTATAATTCTCTTGCCCAATATGTAAAGATAGAAGAAAAAAGCCTAACGAATATCTTGAGGAAATCTGAAGCCACAGCTTCCCTTCCCCAACAAACAGACACAGAAGCAGCAAATTGTCCTTTCTGAAAAAAGGCATTACAAGACATTCCAGGCAGAGGGGAATCATCTTCCAGCTACTCTTGGAAGGAAGCTTCAGAGGCAGCATGTGGTTTGTCACTGGAAAAGGAAAGAGCACAAGCCAGACACCTTCTAGGGAGCCCTTTGTCACTGGCTGTTGAAAATCTTCCACCATCAGCAGAAAATCAGCAGTGGCTCAGAACCTGAGATATACAGCTATGTGCACATGCTAAAGAAACAGCATCACAGGATACACTTGACTGCAGAGGAACCACCAAAAACCAAGCCCTTTTTGGTAATGAAAGGATTTCTGAGTCTTATCACAAGCTTCCCATTCCCAGCCAGGATAGCCCCCAGCCAACTGCCACCTCACAGGCAGTAAGCCAGAAAAGCACATGGAGGAGAAGCTTTCCCCACACCCTTCTTCTTTCTGGATTTTAGTTTTCTCACCCAGAAGACAGAGTTAATAATGACTCTTGCATGAAGCCACCGTAAGGATGAAATGGGACAGCAAAAGTGACCCTTATCTGATACCTGGCTGGGCGTATGTCCTTTGGGCAGAGGACCCGCTCTATTCTTCCATATCCAGATGAAATGTTCCCATCTCATTTCACAAACGGCATGGCACCAAGCAGAATGGTGTAAAGACAGCGAAGCTCACCCTTTTCCTCGTCCTCCTTGTTTCACTTTCCTGCTTCCACCAAATTTTGAATCTCGTATCTTCTCATGGTTTGTGGCTTATTTGCCCAAATCAGAGAAGTCAGCCACTTTTGCCTTGATTTTGCAAGTTTGAATGGTAACCCACATTTATGAATAGCGAGATATACAGAAGGATGTGGGGTATGCAGAGACTCTGGTAAGGCACTGTAGTGCATCCCAGTGTGGGCCAGCAGATGACACAGAATTGAATATTAGGTCCCTCTGTTCTTGCAAAGCCTCAGCTATTCCACCTATTGGGAATTTCTCAAGGGACAGTTCTCCTCCCTGGGGCTCAGTCCTCCACCACCTGAGCTGACCCACTCTCCTTCCTGTTTTAATGTCCTTCTCCCCATTTCCATGCCACTTTCTACTTCCCCTCACAAACTCTGCAGAAATTCAAATTGCACTGACTTTAATTTACAGAACAATTCTGGTCCTTTGGTCTCACCTCAGGGCCTTCTCAGTATCCTCTGACCTTTCTTAATAACAAAACACTCCATCAAATGATATATCTTGCCTGCACTAGAATAATTCTGTAGACATTCTGAAGTATTCTTTCTTGTACTCCCTCATTGCATCTGTATGAGGCCAAAGCAGAGTGAGAATAATAAACATTGACCAGCATCCACTATGTGCCAAGAATTGGCTGAGTACTTAGTAATTCACTCATGCATTACTCACAATAAGCCCCCAGAAACCATAATCAGCCCCATTTTATAGGTAAGAAACTGGAGAACAGAAAGGCTTGTTGTCTTGCCTAAAATTTTAGAGCTGGCAAGGAGCAGGGTGAGACCTCAAATCCAGCTGATCCACCTTGCAGCCCTTACGCTTAGCGGGATTGTATTGTAGAACATCTGGGAAAGCTCAGTACTGTGCTTCCTTCTCCTACCTGCTCGCCAAGTCTAGAGACCCTTCCAGTGCTCTATCAGCTCTGTCACTTCCTCAGCACCTGCTGTCCCCAGCCATTGGCTTTTATGTCTCAGAAGTGTACTCCGTGTTACCAAGCTCAGGGTCAGAAAGGACCACTAGGGGAGGCATGAGTTTGAATGAGGTGAAGTGATGAGGGGAAACGTGATCCATGGTGAGGGTTCTATAGGCTGAATTTCAGTTCTAGCTTTGCAGCTGAGGGTCATGTGCCTTAAGACAATTCCTTTTCCATGCCTACCATTTAAAACAGATTTGTTTTTCCTACAAATGTTATGTAGCCTCCAATACTCAGAGGTTCTTAGAGGCCTTAAGAAAGTTTGATAGATCTCATGTGGGTCCTGAGAACCCCACCCTTGCCTGAATTCAGTCTCCAGCTGAAGTTGTGGTACCAGATACAAAGAACTGGCCTGAAATTTGGAATGCTGACATTAGAGTCTT